CGCCCCCCACTCCCACCACACGCTCATGTGGGATCAGAGAAGTGGCGGGAAGGGCCTTAAACCGAAGAGGGGGATCCAGTCCAACATGTTCCCTTGAAGCCCCGGGGCCCCAGCGCCCAGCGTCACCTATGCATTCCCCATGGCCGGGTCCCCGCTTGCAGACGCTAGGGTGACCTCCCCAAGAGAATCCCCAAAGATGCCTTCACTTATCCAGTGATGAGGGTTTTCTTTCCCCTCGTTCTCCACACCAGGCCTGGGTCCGGGGCTTCTTGGTCCGACGCCAGTTCCAGAGTCTGCGAGCTGAGTATGAGGCTATTGTACGAGAGATCGAGGGTGATCTGGGCACACTTCAGTGGACTGAGGGCTGGATTCCTAGACCCAGATTTCTCCCACAGGTAGTACACACCCCAGGAGGAGAAGGGAGGGCAAAGAGGAACCTGGGCAGGGGATTCAAGGGGATGGCAGAATCCATACAAGCTTTTCTCAATGGGAGGGTCAGCCAACTCAGCTCCCACACCCCAATCCTGAATCATCACCAACATATATGCTAAATCATGGCACCCAGATACTTGAAGGTTTAGCCCTGAGGCTCTCATACCTCTCTGATTGATTTCTCAGAAGGCAAAGTCTCAACGGACCTGGAAAGCTGGAGAGAGGGTACCAAAGCCAGAGCAGGAACTATGGAGCTGCTTCCCACGCAAGGAGCCTGAAAGAGACATCATTCGAGAGGAGAGGATGCTGAAGAAGTCAGGAGAGTGCTCAGCAAACTCAGGAAGTCTTCCCTGCAGAGATGACAGCCCCTGGCTTCAGGACGGGAAGAACAAGAAACCCAGGCAAGAGGAGACCAGAGATACGTCAAGGATGGAGAACCCAGGTACCTCTTTGCCTAGATCAGAGCAAGCCCCTGACCCTCTCTGGGCCTCAGCTTTCCCATCTGAAAAATGAAAGGCTTGTGCTACATAAGCTGCATCTCTTTCTTTCTTCCCTCTGCCTGATTAGGAGCAACTCATGGGTAGGCAGGGGGAGGGTGCCAGGATCTACATATCAAGGCTTTTTTCTTTCTTTCTTCCCACCTTCACAGAAGTTGCAGGTCCAGGACTGTCCCACAGCCAGACTGAGCTCCAGGAGCTCCAGTACCACCGCAGCCACTTGGCCATGGAACTGCTGTGGCTACAACAGGCGATTAATAGCCGTAAAGAGGTATGCACTAATTTGGAACCCTTTCTGCATATTTGGGGCCAAGGGTGAGGGTTAGGGAAAAGCCTCCTGCCATGGCCAAGCAGACTGCTTGGTACAGTATCTCTTCTCTTCCACCACAGTATTTGATTCTCAAAGAAACTCTAAGATCCCCAGAAACAAGCCAGACCAGAGATGAGCCCAGCATGTGCCCAGACCATGGGGGACAGGCCTGTGAGAAGGCTGGGTCACAAAGCCTGCTATTGGAAGACCAGTCCTATAGAGACAGGACCACTGGAGAGCCAGACCATGCGGATGACACCTGCTGGAGGTTCAAATCACAACCTAACAAATCCCCAGAAAGACAGGGCACTATAGTCAAAACCACTACTAGGGCTAAATACAGGGACTCGTGCTACAGGAGAGCTGGACCACAGCTGCCCACACCATCAGATAACCAAGCCATAGAGAACAGACTCACCAAAGAGCCAGACTGTGGGAAACAGACCTTTGGAGGGACCTGCCTGCAGCTGACGCAACTCCTAGAGGACCAGACCCCCCAAGGCCTTAAATCTAGGGGATACTCTTCTAGAAAGGCCAGGACGCAGATACCTGTACTCCATGAAGACCCAAATATTGAAGATAAGTCTCCCAGAGGACCAGACCACAAAAGGCCTGATTGCCAAAGAGCTAAGCCGCAAGAGTTGGGCCTCTCAGAGGACCATGTCTTCTGGGATGGGACTTTGACAGAGCATAGTGGCCTGGATCTCTGGAAGACTAAACCACCCAAGGGCCAGACCCCCAATGATAAAAGCTCCAGATATAGAGCCTGCAATGAGCCTAGCCATGAAAGATGGAAAAACCAGAGGACTGGACCATGGAGATCAAGGCCACCTGAGAAACTGTCTTTTACAGGGTCAGACTACACAGGAGAGGACTACTGGAAGGACAGGCCATGGAAAACAGGACCACCAGGCTAGACCAGATTCCAAAGGGGGATGATATGAAAGGGCGAAGGGGGAGGACAGGCCCTCATCCAAGCTCCCTGGTACCAGCTCTACCTCCTGCCCCTGTCCCTTGGCCATTGGTGGCTAATAGGGCCAAGAGAAGTTGGAGCGAAGAGCTGGCACCAGTACAGGGAGAGGAAGGAGAAAGACTCTTTCATACTCTTCCTGTGTCTCAATCCAAATTTCGGGACAAGGAGTCACCTGGGGTAAGTAAAGTAGGGAGCTTGAAGGAGAATAAAGGTTTTTCTTGGATTCTGAGCCTGGTTGCATTTATCTGCTTTTGGTCAAGACAGACTGGGCCCTCCTGTTCACTTCCTACTGGCCTGGGGCATCTTCCCTAGAGCTGGCTGGGAGCAGACTATCCATCCTTGGGGAACATCTCCCAAAGCTGATCCTTGAGTTCAGCCCTTGAGCTGTAGCAGTGGCAGGAAGATTCTGAGAAGCCCTCCCTCTAGTCAGTATTGGACCATCTGTGTTTCAGTGTGATCTCTGCCTCTGCCTCTTTCACTGAGCCCCAGGATATTTTTTCATATATAGTGATCACACCTGCCCTATTCTTGTGAGGCCCCACTAAGGGCAGAT